TTTTTACCAAAAATGACAAAAATATTCACCAAAATTAGAGAATTAAAGATATCATCACAAAATGAACAAATCTGAGAGAGATCCACATGTAGTACCTATATATGTAATATCAAAGCAATTGGAGTTGCGGTTTTTAACAAGAAGTCGAAAATATCACTTTTTAACAAAAATGCCAAAAATATTCACCAAAATTAGAGAATTGAAGATATGATTATGAAATGAACAAATCTGAGAGAGGTCTACCCAAGGTACATATACACCAAGTATCAAAGCATTCAGGCTTGTAGTTTTCAAGAAGAAGTCGAAAAAGTAAAACATTGACACGAACGACGGACAATCACTCATATGATAAGCTCCGCTCGACAAAGTCGACAGCGGAGCTAATAAAGCATTTTACAGTACTATAATTGTGAACAGCGCCCCCAGTGTTGACATATATCAATACAACATAATATTGGGTAACAGTAAGTTTACCTTAGGTAGGAATTCTTTGAGAGTTTCAAACGTTGGTCTGTCTTCCGGTTTCAGTGCCCAACACTGCTGCATAAGTTTATACATATCAGGCGGACAATTATCAGGTTTAGGTAACCTTTCACCTTCTTTATCTATTTTTTGTAAAATCTGTTTGAAGGTAAAGATAAAACCGCAAATGCAAAATTCTAATAAGATGACAAGTTTATAGATCAGTGTGAATAATAGCCATGTTTGCTCTATTAGATGTACATATCCAATAGATGTACATATCCAATAGATGTACATATCAAATAGGTGTACATATCAAATAGGTGTACATATCAAATAGGTGTACATATCAAATAGGTGTACATATCAAGTAGGTGTACATATCAAGTAGGTGTACATATCAAATAGGTGTACATATCAAATAGGTGTACATATCAAATAGGTGTACATATCCAATAGATGTACATATCCAATAGATGTACATATCAAATAGATGTACATATCAAATAGGTGTACATATCAAATAGGTGTACATATCAAATAGGTGTACATATCAAATAGGTGTACATATCAAATAGGTGTACATATCCAATAGATGTACATATCAAGTAGGTGTACATATCAAGTAGGTGTACATATCAAGCAGATGTACATATCCAATAGATGTACATATCCAATAGGTGTACATATCAAGTAGGAGCGCACCTCCTATAAGAGCGCACCTCTCGCCTACATGATTCTGTGGCCGTGCTGGAATCACCTGCCAGCTGACAATTATGTAATTTAATAATTATTCTAGTAGGTGACCTTTGGTACTGACATCATGTATTACTTAATTGGGTGTTTTTCAAAGGCTAGAGGTTTAGATATGCAAATTTTAGCAAATGTACTGAGGACGATTTTCAGTAACGAAGCCTTGAAACAGACGACAGAAGCAGGGGTAGCTACTAACACAGTAACTACATAAAACAATGGTGAGAGTCAGCAACATAGATCAGACAGCCAAATGAACACTAAATTAATATAATTCTAATGACAAATTTAATGCTGGTGGTTATAAATAATATATCAATTCTGACATGCATAAGTATATTAATAATTCAGAAGATAATACAACTTCAGCATCCAGTATCTTGAGTGTTACTTCACAGCTACAACCGTACTAGTATATAAAAAGACCTATATCATTTCATAAACATAGTTAAACTACAAATGGCTTGCCCTGTATATGTAAGGGTAGGCAGGTCATAGCATAGGATGGGGTATCATATGTGGGGCAGATCCCAGTATAT